AGGAGGCCCAGGATGGACATGTCGTCTGAGGAATGGGAGGGGGAGTTGAAATGGTTCGCGACTGGGAGGTGCAGTTGTTTGTTGCGAACCGAGCGTAGGTGTTCTGCAAAGCGGTCCCCGAGTCTCCGCTTGGTTTCCCCGATGTAGAGGAAGCCACACCGGGTACAGCGGATGCAGTATACCACATTGGCAGATGTGCAGGTGAACATCTGCTTGATGTGGAAAGTCTTCTTGGGGCCACGTATGTTTTGACAAGGATAAAGAATACCTCTTAACTTCACTGAATGCAACTTTTTACAAAGAACCAGCTTTGGAATTTTCAAATTAGTACTTCATGTTTGAGTTTACATAGAGTACAAGGGATATCCATTCCCTTTATCTCTGTAGCCTTCTAAGCCTTTTAAAAGGCTTGAATTAAAGATGTGAAGTGCTTTTAACAAATTATGTCATGCAAAAACACAAAGAGAAGTAACCTTACTGCAACCATGGTAACTAAATCTCTCCCAGGAGATTGAAGCAGACACAGGGGCTGAAACCAAAACCAAATTTCTATCTGCACAAGTTGCCAATTGCTGCGGTCTGTCAGCTCAGCTCAACATGGCAATTAGGAATCACTTTTGCTGCTGAAAGGAATTATTTTCTCTTTTTAAAATTCTACTTCAATCCCACGTAACTAATTGATTTTCAAAAAACACCCACTGAATAAATATGCAGGCGCCAGGTTTTCTTGCCATTTTTTTAAAAAAGTGTCTGTTTTCCGAACAAGATTTCATGGTTCTTCTAGTGAAAATCCTCACTGCCAATCTCAGGCTACACAGGCTGCCGAGAGAAGTGGTTGATCCCAGGACAGTATTTAACACTTCGTCTATCGATTTGTATTGACCATAACACCCAATGCAGGACAACTTTAAGAAACAAGTAGATATAAACCCCTGCTTTCTGAAATAGCTAGTGAGCGATTTTCATAACACAGTCCGGCTTTAATGCGGTCACACTTCTTGGACCCCAACATCTGCATTGGATCAGATTTCCATTGCATGCGTTTTATCTTACACAATTCCTTTGAATGCAAATTTCACTTTTCATCGGGTTTATAAAAATAGAAATAATGTACAGTACAGATCTTCCACTTTTTTTGAAATGCAAACAAAGCATGCTAAATACAAGAACAATTTCTGAATTTAACTATTGATTATTGTGAACACAACAGATCATTCTCAATGTAAAACGGTACAAATTGTAGCACAGAATGAGCTGGGAACACCTTTTCTAGCTGTGCAGAATCAAGGCTGGGAAGGGCAGGAACAAACAAGTATTATTACAGATGCTATAGGCATGGGCATTAGCAAAGCAGTTCTGGGAAGTCATCAGTTTAGCACAAAGGCAGTTTTATTTGACTCAACCTACCCTCTTTATAATAGTCCATTAATAATTTGAAGATACATCAGTTTTTGCTGAGAGCTCCAGCCAAAACCTTGAGATGGACCTCATCTGCTCCCTGGATGTAGCTGTCTGTCAGGTCAACATGTCATCAGGGAGTTTAGTGGCTGGAAGACTAGGACCATGAAAATTCTGATACATCCTCTGGTGTTAACTGTTCTGACTTCTGGAACCACGATTGTAGTAATGGATGTTTTCCTGTAAAGGCCTGGTGTAAATTAGCAGCTTGACTGTAACTACACTCATATTAGTTCTTCCTGTGGCAACGCTAGATTCACAGTGAAATTACACCAAAAGATTTTCACTGTATAAAATCCATCAATCCCCATCTTGAATGGACTCAGCATATTCTCAACCCTTTGGATTAGGAACCTATTAGGATTTATGAGCCTCTGAGTGAAGAAATTTCTCCTTACTTGAGAGGATCCCTTATCTTGAGGCTATACGCCCATTTCCTAGATTTCGCATTTGTAGGAAATGCAGGTCAGCATTGCCAAGAACTTTAGAAAGACTATAATGTTTAAACTTCTGGCTTTATTTCTTCTTTTTAAGAGTTATTGGTTGGTCTGCTGAGCTGACAGGTTTTCATGCAAACGTTTTGTCTCCCTTCTAGGTGACATTGTCAGTGCTGTGTAGCCTCCGTTGAAGCTCTGTTGTTCTGTCCCACTCTGAATTTATATGGTCTAGTCTGTCATGGTAGGCAGTCTTGTTTCTGGTTTTGTACCTTAGTGATATGTAGATGGGGTCTATTTCAACATGTTTGTTAATTGCATCAGGGATTGAAAAGCAGGCTTCCAGGAATTCTGAGATAGTAGGAACTGCCGATGCTGGAGAATCTGAGATAACAAGGTGTAGAGCAGGATGAACACAGCAGGCCAAGCAACATCAGAGGAGCAGGAAAGCTGACGTTTCAGGTCTGGACCCTTCTTCAGAAGAAGGGTCCAGACC